CCCCCCACCGTGTGCCCGCCGCGAGCCCCGCGAGGCGCCGTTTTATAACTGTACAACAGCTCTGAATAAAGAGGCACAAGTAGAACCAGGCCGGCGCTGCGTGGGCTCCTGCGGGGTGGGCTGGGGCGGGGGCGGTGTCTTGGGGAAGGCCCCGGCCCCCCGTGGCACGGAGCAGGGTGGCCAGAGGCCACGCTGGCACTGCCCTCCTGTCGTGCCCAGCCCCTGGCTCTGGTGCAGGACAGCAAAGCCAAGGGGGGCGCGTGGCCCAGGGGGAGCAGAGCCACGGGCGCAGCAGGTCCTTGGCTGTGGGCCAAGGACCTGTATGAGGGTGAAGGTTAGCAGGGCTCAGAGGCCACGTGACTGCAACCACGTCACACCGGGCACGGCCCTGCACCAGCGCTGTACTGTGCCGCTCGGGCACTGGGCAAGGTGCCCGTGGGCCAAGCCCTGCGCAATGAGGAACTGCTGCTGCTTCCAGCAACCGGCCTCATCTCCGATCACTCACGTGGTTTCCAAGCAGAACGTGCCAAGTTTACTCGCCCTCGCCTCTTTGGGCTCACGTCTGTCATGCAACCCTGCTGCTTCTGGATCCGGTCTAGACGGCACCGCCGCCATCCTAAGACGCGGCACCCAGACGCGTGCCCGGTGCTGCAGACGAGGGCCGGGCAGCGCCCGCAGTAGCACGAGCAGTCGCGTCTTACACAGGGGTTCGCCCGGCGCGCGTGCCGGAGCCCAGCGAGTGACTCCATGTACCCTGGCACGGCACAGCTGGCCCCCGGGGGTCTGCCAGCCCTGCTGGGAGCAGCCCTGGCTGCGTGGCGGGGGGCAGGGGCCTGCCCAGGGCCTGGGCTGCTCACAGCCCGCAGCTGCGAGGTGCGAGGGGCTGCGCCGGGGTCCGGAGCCCTGCCCGGCTCATCCCCGGTGGCAGCTGCACGTGCGCGGCAGGGAGCCCGGCGGGGAAGAGGCCAGGGCTGCACTGCCACGGCCAGCAACGGGCCCCTCAGGGCTCCCCCACGGTCCACCTCTGGGACGCCAGCACCTTCCAAGTCCAGGTTGCCGTGGGGTTTGGGACTCAGCCCAAAAACCTTGCTGATCCATCGTACATCTTATGTGCCTCTTGCTGCAGCCCCAAATGGCATTTGCTTTCTTGGTTGAAAAAAGGCATCGCCTTGCTGACTTGTGGAGCGGCCGCGGGCCCAAACCTGCACCCTGCCCAGCAGCGCGGCCCCTCCCAGCCTGCGCTGTACGTTTGGGGGTCTGCCCCGGCTCAGCTCACGTGTCCGTGCACACCTGCATCCCGCTGGTTCAGCTCAGCTTTCCCGTCTGTCGAGATCCCTGTGATGACGACTCCCGTCTTCCAGCGGGTCCCAGGTTCAGTCACGCGCAGACTTCCTCCAGAGCCTCGAGCGCGAGCAGGCGGCGTGACCGGCCCCCGGCCCAGGCCTGGCCCCCGCCCCGGGGCACTGCACCGCCCACTGCCCTCGAGCCAGGCCCGCTCCCCTTTACTTAGGGTAACTGAGCCACCCGCACAGCCGCCCTGCGGTCGTTTTATCCAGCCGACGTATCCGACCCAGTGTGAGCTTATCTCCGGCCTTGCTAAAGCCGAGCGCTGTGGTGCTGTGGAGGCAGAGCCCGCCGCAGTGCCTGAAATGGAAAGCGCTGCCTGAGGCCGGCAGCCGAGCATCTCGCTGAGAGGTTGCGAGGTGCAAACACGTCTTCATTGTGTTCAGGAGCTTGGATAGCAAACTATTTCCACAAAAGGAATAGTGTCCCGTTTCCAGTCAAGGGGAACGGTGTTTGAAGGGTGAAGCTGTGATCACACGCTGCAGACCAGCACTCACCCCCAGCTGGGCCAGCACGCACCTGCCCCACGTGTCGGCTCCCCCATCGGACACGGGCACTTCCCCCACAGGAGCACGGCGCAGCCCCGGCCGCAACCCCCGCACCCCTAGATTGGACATCGGGGCCTTCGACCCCGGCCCCACCTGGGGCATGGCGGGCCTAGCAGGACTAAGAGATGCAGCCTGGCCTTCAGCTGCACCAAGGACCACGCGGGCAAGGCAGGATTGGCACCCGTGCTCTGGGCCCCAGGTGCAGATGCCACGGGGACGTCGGGCAGGGGCCGGGTCCTGGGCCTCACATCCCATGGGTCCTCCATGGCCCGGCCTCATGGCCGCAGCGAGGAGCCATGTGCTCAAAGCTGCGGGCATTCGGGTACGGGGTGAACGCACCCAATAAATACCCCAGCCAGACCAGGCCCCAGCCCCAGGCACTGACTAGCACCTACCAGGGCCAGCACTCACCCCCAGATGGGCATCGTGTCCCCACAGCGAGCCCCTGCCCGGCAGCCTGCCCCCCCGGCACCTGCGGCCATGGCTGTCCTGGGCGCTGCCCGCACCACTCACGGGCCCGTCCCCCCACACCTGGCTGGCCCAAGACTTCGTTGCTCTTCCAGGAATCAGAAAGCGAAAGCTCCCGGGAAAACCCCGGGAGCGCCCGGGCACCGGGAACGCCCGGCACGGCCGGCCGGGCCCAGCCGCAG